AGTTGTACAGATCAGATCTCATGCTTTTGGCGATTTAATTTTGATGGTGTATTGTGATTTTTATTTCGATTTGCTTGTTGGTGAGGTTAATGTGTTATTCTATGTTGCCTTTGTGTAGGTGTCATAGTGTCGTAGGAGAAAATGATTACAACATATTAGAAACTGTAGTTAACTTTCTTATTTGACAGTTAATATTTAATTTTAATGTTCGAGTATGAGATAACCCTAAGATTAGGAAGGTGTATTGTCGAAGCAGCTACTAATTTCACTCTTGTATAATTGGTCTAGAATATATATATATTTATGCAATTCTTCTAAATGTCCATGCAGTTAATCCCATTCATGTTAGATAGCAGTTAAAAGGCCGTAAACGTATACTAATCCTTTTACACGTTGTTGTTAAGTCTGAGGATAACATATAGGCACTTCTCTATGGACTTCTAGGAAGGTAGCATTTTCAAGCAGGATACAGGAAATGTGTTAAGTGTCTAAATATTAGACGTAAGAGAACTACCATTTCTGCCTTTGTTTTCAACTTAGAATTAAATAATACAATGAATATTTTATTGGAAAACTAATGCCTTGTTCAGCTTATTGATTCAGCAACCATGAAGGCTTTGTTAGAACTTACGATCGAGATGGAACAATAGATCAACATGCAAGTCTCGGAAAGTAAAAATACAGCCATTTTTATATCTTATATTGGGGGAAATCTTCGAATCGAGTTCATATAAATCTTCATGTTACTTTCGGAATATCTATCGATTAAGAATTATATTCAAGATTAAAAATAAGATGAAAAAAATGCAGTATTCATTGGTCGCCTATAGTTACAGATGTCAGTCTTGAGACTCTTTTCAGGTATGTTTCATTGGTAGTGCAAAACAAAAGTTTTCAAAAACCATACCTTCAACCAATCGAACTTATATTCCACCAGCGCACTTTTTGTAACGGTCTAGTTTCATCTATATGGCTTTTGAATTAAATCTTCAGTTTATAGTGAGCAGGAGTTGGTGATAAACAAAGTTAGTCTCTTCAAGGAACTAACACTTTTCTCAACTAAATGTAAATGAACGTCTTCCCAAGTTATAAGCACTTGCACTAAAATTTCTCTTGGAAAAAAAGCTAAATATAAGAGTGCTTTATTATATCTATGACATGTTCCAGTTATATTTTACAGTATTAATTTATTTCACAAAAATCCAGAAAATGATGGTTTCATTACGCTATGGGCGAATATTTTATAAATCAAAGTTTTTCTAAATCACTCACCTGAAGGTGTCGCAATACCGTAACCTTTGGAATCCAAGAGTCCGCCGATTTGCATAAGGTCGCAGTTTCTTTCAATTATGTATTCTATGCTGGTAGATTCCATCAGGAGAGCGTAGTTACCTTTCTTTACCCTCTCCACACCTTTCATATTAGAATCCACAAATACACTGGGCCGTGCAGATTCCATGTAGTTCCACATTCGTTTGAAAGTCGGAAAGTTTGAATGCTGCTCAATAATATTTACAGGTTTACCTTTTTTTGCCTTCCATACATAATTAGTTATCAAATATATCATATATAATGGATTATTCAGTTTACATTACCAAAACACATGTATGACATAGGTAGCTGCCTATTATAACAGAGAGTTGAGTACGTTTATATCAAAACGATTTTAGTACACACATCAGCAAGTCACTTGAACAACACAGCCGACATACAGTTGCGGTAGAACGTGTATAATAACTATATTTTGACATTGTTTGGCGTTCGTAGATAGTACGATGCCACCGAAAATTGAGGTTTTTGGAAAGAGTATTTAAATGCTCTTTCAGACGCAAACAATTTTTTTTACTCAATAATTAGATATGTGCTCTGATTGGGGATTAAGTATTTCTAAGGCTGGGGTATCCCTTGTATTTAATGGCATTGGAAAACAATGGAATATGGATAGCTTAGGAGAGCCAGAACCATCCAGAAAGAAACCTTCAGCAAGTCGCACTCCAACTATGATAAGCAAACTATGAGAATCCCCGAACACAAAGATCAGTGACAAAAGTTCTCTCTATGTGTGTTAGGCAACAGTATACAACATAATCGAGTCACGTATACACAATTTTCACAACATATCTGTTCAGTTGCATAATGGGTATTCATATTATTCCACGTGAAGGCGTATCAGTCAAGTCACTGGATGCAGAGCCTCTGAATTTCTGTGCAAGTGGACTGTTGAAATGGATACTGGAAAACCATCATCCTCGTACACTAAATGGATCACGGAAATCTGCAGGAAAAAGTGGTGTACTTTGGACACGACAGCCTTACGACAAAGCCTTTTGAAATGGAAAAAAAATACTGCAGAGCTATTGTCAAGATGCACGGCTGCCAAGCAGAGCATGACCGGACGTGGCGAGGTTCCAAAATCGTTATGATATAACATACTCAAACTCTGTAACACAAGGAAGAAGTGATCTAACTTCTAGTTTAAAAGCAGTATACAGAGTTATATAGAATATATTTCAGCAAGTCACAATTGGCCATTTACTTTTCAGTCAGTAGCTGTATATATTACTTTAGGAGGCATTTTTGTGAAATGTTAAGTGTTATGCTAAAGCTGTATTTTTAGTGAAAGCAGTACAGAAACTATGTTGATAATGATTTTATACGACTGACTAAGGTCATATCCTATTATGACTGAAGACATTTCAATCTGAATTCTACTGAATGTTTGGTAGCTGTAAGTTACGAAATTTAATGATTTGTGATTTCGGTTGTGAGCAGTAATAAATGATGTTTTAAGGAAGTTTAAGTGTAAATAGGCCTTCATCCGAGACTACTGTGACCGAAGGAAAAAACTGAGAAATAATAGGTCAAACGGTAATTGAAAGCTCGGAGAGGTACTTGAGCGAGTGAAAAGTGTACAGTAAAACTATTTATATATCTAAACCATGCATCATATACACATTTTTATATAACCATAAATATTATTGCACGAAGGTTAAAAACTAGACTAATAAGTTTAATCTATAATTTTCATTGAATACATGATTGTAACTATCACTGTTAATAGAATGTAAACGCTACTACTGTTGTTAAATCATGTCAATAGCACTTCTATGTTCATTTTCATTCAAAATAACTGTCAGGTGACCTTTCATGTGAGCTGATATACTTATTTCAGTAGTAAACAAAATTAGGAAAGCACACTGTGTTCTTAATTAGCAGCTTGAAAAACAGCAGTGTGTGTGTAAAGAGATCCAGACTGATAGCGAAACATGCCAGGACCTCAGTATATATATGATGACTGATATATATGATGATGATGACTGATATATATATATGATACTGCCCGTTTTAATTGATGTAAAAAGCATACGAGTTGGTGAAACAACAGGTGGACAAACACTTCACACTTCAGCTAAAACAAGACGTTTGTACATTTGGAAATCAAAATCAGATCTAATTTCCTTTTTAACAGAAGAAAGACACAGACACATAGCTTTAGTGGCATGCTGGTCTGGTACACGTACCCAAACTGACCTTTATGTGCTACGAAACTACACCTTGAATATCACATAATATGAGGGAGGGGCTCAGTTTTACAACTGATCAGAAGTTCTTCTATTGGATGATAACGCAAGCCCTCATTATGTTCAACTGGTTAAAAACTTTCTAAAGAAAGAGGGTATTAAGATATTGAACTAATGGTTTTCAAACGAGACCCAAAACTCTCGTTTAAAAACCATTAGAACTTTTGTATGTGACCCTGTGTGCTAACTTCTTAATCAGAAGATAATGAACTAGTCAGCATGCTCACCAGAGTCGAATCTAGTTGAAGACGTAGGTGATGCTCTGGTAAGACACTTGGCAGCACGCAGTTCCCCTCCAAGTAGTACTGATGAAATAAAGGCAACTGTAATGAAGGAGTGGGCTATAGTATACCCCAGAAGTTTACTGATTCACCCTTTTTAAGCATACCACATCCGTTAGTTGCATTAGTGTACGAGATTATCATACGGTTTATAAACAAACGTTTTCTGATAATCTGATAATTCATGAGGCTGCGAAGTCTGTAGTAACATATGGATATTTGTTGATATGGGCTCCAATAATAGAGATTTTCATGTAAGATTACATGGCTGATCGCCTGATACTTGTTTTACATAAATATGAAGTGAGAGATGATTCTAATGACATGATTTAATAAGAGTAGGTGCACTTTGACATAGCTTTGAAAACAAAAAAACGATTATCCCTGAATTACTTTGATCAGAGTATGTAAAGAATACTTCTTTTTATTCATTAAAAGCATATGTATGTGATATCTAGTTGATGAAAACTAATTTATAAAATAATCAACAACTGAAACTTTAGAAAGGTAATAATAATAAACAAATACTGTGTTTGTGCGTTCTTATACAAACTGTTCAATGACTGTTAGAGGAACGCATGATTATTCATTACATAGGAAATTCAGAAATATCTTTGGAACATAATAGCACGAATGAAAATTTTGAATTTATCAACAAAACAACGTGAACAGGTCCGTAAATAGATGATACTTGTACTATCTTTAGCTTAAACTAAATCTGAAAAGAAACTCCACTCCAATGTTCGTTTCTTCTAAGCGAAGCAAAGTATGCAACAATAATCTGTTTGTCTTTAGCCAGCATAAAACTTATATTTATAGTTAATTTTATTGATTTATCTGTGTTTTTCCGAAATAACGATGCACAAAAAGAGATATTTATCGTGAAACTCATCATTATTTTGTTTTAATTACACCAAATAATTCTTTATTTTTTTCAGCTTTTGATAACAACTTGAAATGCACTGGGAGTAATAACTGTAAAAAATTGTGTTAGCCACTGACTGTTCACTGTCCTCAGCTGATAATTTTTAAACTTGTATTTATCTAAAGGACAGTAAGGGAAGCAGTGTTAGACAATTTCTGGTTTAATTATACGGTTTTAAAGTATGGTTGACAAGGTTGTCTTTTAAGTGCAAGAAAATTAAGTTCTAAGTAAAAAACAAAAAAGCTATTGAGGAACTGAAAGTGTAGCAACATAAATGCATCACGTGATAAGCTACGTTTTCCCATTGATTTATAAATTAATATCTTTATACTCTATTAGCACGGTCATTTACCTTAAAGAAAGCCTGCGTCGATCCTGATCGGAGGCAACCATACTGAATGGATGTCTGCTTAGCTAAATCTTCAGCACTCTCTATTGGCGAAGTCATTCGTTGTATGGTTAGGAATGCTGCAAGATTAGCTGTGTACGAGGATACCATGATCAGGGTGAAGAACCACCAGATTCCGGAAACTACTCTTGTTGACATAGCCCTACACAGCACAGTTTGGGATTTAGATGTTGCACCTAAAGTTACTATTATGCAGATAAATCTATCTTCACAAGTTAAAGAAAAACAACAACAACAAAATCTTATTTAAAACTTTTGATGCTTTTCAAGTAAGTAATAATGAAATTAAGTAATCTTGTTTTATAGTAACACGAACTTGCTTATTCATAGACAAATAGTCAAATCGAATGATAACGAAGTAAACTATTCAGCGACATCAAAACAAACAGTTTGGTGGCAAAGAACAAACCTGTTTGTTTATCATAAAGTAAGACTTTCAGTTGACAATAAATTTAAACTAATGAAAAATAAAGAAATCTGATCTGAATAATACTAAGTCGTCGTATGCCAGTACTCTAAAGCTGCCTAATGAAAATTGTAAATTTAATGTCTAAAGATAATAAGATAAAGCTGAAGATGATTAAGTAAAATCGGTGACATTATGGTACAACTGGTGACATTACAGTAAAATTGTCTGACAAAAATAAATTTAAATTATCTAAGGATAATAAAATTAAAATGTCTGTTGGTTATAATGGCCTTTGATGATAAAACCATTTCATGAAAATAACTTCAAACTGTCTAATAACAACAAAGTATAAACGTGGGCTATTTGACTGTTTGCTTAGCTAAATTTCAGCACTCTCTATTGGTGAGGACATTATGAAGACACTAAAATAGACTGTATACTGAATAACGGTGAACATTAAATACAATTCACTAGAACGTTTTTGGGTAAAAACCTAAATCTTTATTTACAGGTACAAACAAAGTAAAAAAAAAGAAAAGCAGAGAGTTTTACAAGGGTAACCAAGTATGATCAGGTGAAAACACCGAATAGAGTTTCAACAAGTTAAATCCATTGTGGTGGATCACGTGTGCAAAAGCTACATAAAGTCAAATAGTTAACTTAAACTTGTTTATTGTCGGATATACATAGTATATTATATATTGTTACAACGTTTCACAAGGTTAACCTGGCATCATCTGATACAACAACTACAAAAAATATATTCCTGATCTAGATAATACGAAAAACTAGCGAATGGATACATTGGTATTTGATTGGTTGAACTTAACAGGATTGCAGAACAGAAAGAATCAAAAATTGTACAGACAAATTAATTTGAAATTTTTTCATAATTTTTTTCCCTAAAACTTTCTGAAACTTTTGTAATAAAAGAAATTGTCCAATAAATATTACTTTCATTATTACTTGACTTGTGCTAGACTTCTCTTCGGATTTTCTATTAAGTTTAGAGAAGACGTCGATAACAGATTATAAAGGAAAAACCATTTTAAGTTATTAATTCTATTTTCAGTTTGTGGAGGTCCGATTGAAATTGTTCGTTACTGGAACGAATAATCTTGATAGAATGGTACAGAGTTTTTATGATCATGGTAGGAATTCTAAGGTACATATAAACCTGTATGAGTATCTTTATGATAACTGGAAATGTATAATACATTTATTAACAAGAATATTCAAGAACGGAAGTGTATTTAATGTTAGAATGTTTTTAGAATTTTAGGTATTTCAATGGAAGCAGACGGAGGAGTGGAGTTGTCAGTGTCAGTTGACTCTTAGTTTTAAATTTATCTTGAATTGCAATATTTCTAGTGATAATTTTCGAAACCAACTTTTTTTCTAACACTTCAAATTCATCCCTGGAAAGTTGAAGTTTAGAAACATTAAAAACAACTAGTTTTTACCTACAAAACTCTGGTAGATGATTTTAATCAGGTCATTCTATATGAAATCCGATTGTCCCTCTTTTAGCCAACATCATTATGAATAAAATAGAAAAAATAGTATTTTTACTTATTCTAACCTCTCGATATACTTATAATATTTTAACAGCTTTAAATATTCGAACTTTTTGACAGTTTCTTTTTCCAACTGCAACTATTATCGATATTAAGTTCACTGTTGATAAAGAAGTGATTGTAAACTATCTTTATTGAACGTTTTCATTGAAGGAAAATAAAACGAATTTCAATTATTTTATTAATGCCAAGCTAAACAATTGGCTGTGTACACTCTGACTAAAGTGATAATAATACAGAACTGTTGATTATAGAGTAAAACGGAGGGCAGTAAGGTAAACCATCTATAGAATAATGATATAAAACTGTTGATTATAGAGGAAAATTGAGGGCAGTAAAGTAAACCATCTATTGAGAATAATAAAAAAACTATTGATTCTAGACTAAAACTAATGACGGTAAGGTAAAGCATCTATTGATAATAATAGAAAACTGCCCAATAACAAAAAAATAAACAGTACGATAACAATAAGCTAACTAAATAAAATCGTCTGATTATAATACAATATAACAATAACGTGAAACATTTGATAATAAAATGGAAATCTTATTGTCGATATAGTAAAAACCGTCAAATGACGATGTATAAAGCTGCTTCAGGACACTAGTAAACATTATGGTAACTAATTAAAACTGCTGATTACAATGGAACAAAACTTTTATGATAATAAAGTGAAACATATGAAGATCAAGTAAAAACCGGTTTTATTGATATAGCAAAACCAGCTAAGGACGATGCAATATGGCCGCTTCAGAACAAAAGTAAAACAAATATAGCAATAAAGTAAAACGGAAGACAATAAAACAAACACCTCTTCTCTTTGTGAGTCAACGGTAAGTTTACGTACTTATAACGCTACAGTCCGGGGTTCGATTGCCCACAGTGGACATAGCGCAGGTAACTCACGCTGTAGGTGTGCTCAAAAAAACAACAACTAAATAAAACAGCTGCTAAAAATACGTGAATGTAATAAAGTAGGATCTGATAAAGAACTGAAATGATTTAAATAAAATATTAAAAAGAAAATTTAAAAAATCCTTCTGGGATGGGTACTCATATAAATAAGAGAGTATAACTATTTTATAAAAACTCATAAAAGTAAATTACTTTATCAGAAACGACTGACATGTCAATGCTGTCTAATAACCCGTCAATTCTTATCAGTAGGTATACTTAAGCACAACATAATATAATTTCAGCTTGAAATCATTAGAGATAGCTAAAATGCTTATAATTTGTCGAATTAACTTGTTTTGCTTTTCATCAACATGATTCGATAAAATGCATAGACAGATATGATGCAACTATAATAGTTGTACGACTAAAAACGTCATTCCAAAAATGCATCTAGTTTGTCACCTTGGTGTGACTTCACACCCTTGCTGTAAGAGTGAGCCACCAGTAAACCACAAAGTGTTGAGCAGAGTAAACTGATTCTCCAGGGTATCAGGGTGCGGGTCACAGGGGTGAGGATTCGTCCACTCATATGGACTGAACCTGGCTACAACAAAGAGAAAAAGACTGACTCCAAGGAAAGCTGTCACCATGTACACCCAAACTTCCAAAGACAGAGGGGATAGGAAGGAAAACAGTTTCGGGACTTTCTTGGTAGGTCGTTTAAAAAGGATGCTTATTCCCAAGTTCATGAAGGGCATGGTAAAGTCGACAGCATCTTCTCGTTCGTATGTCACAGTCAAATCTACTACTGCTAAATCTGCTTTCTAAAAAAGAAAGAAATATAGATATCATAATAATATTTCAACAAACTACCGTAGGAGAAAAGTTAGCAATGCGAATTTTTCCAAAGTGACACAAATGTATGTAATATTTTGAGAAAATAAAAAGTTAGTTACTTTATGTTCCAAGTCAACGGTTCCACGTACATAAACCAAAGAAAATAAAAGTTAGTTACTTTATGTTCCAAGTCAACGGTTCCACGTACATAAACCAAAGAAAATAAAAAGTTAGTTACTTTATGTTCCAAGTCAACGGTTCCACGTACATAAACCAAAGAAAATAAAAAGTTAGTTACTTTATGCTCCAAGTCAACGGTTCCACGTAATAAGCCAAAAATAAAAATAAAATATTAGTTATTCCATGTTCAAAGTCAAAGGTTCCACGTAAATATACCAAAGAAAATGAAAGGCTAGTTACTTTATGTTTCAAGTCAACGTTTACCACATGTAATAAACCAAAGAAGTTACTAAGTAGTCATGGAGTACAAAGTTCTTGTAACTTAATGATAAATTACTTTTATGTTATCTTTACTATTATA